ATTTTATAAAGATTGAATGAACACTGCGAACAGTAATCACAAATGTTTTATGAAATCAAATGTGATGACTAAATCATAAAAAGTATACTTTATTAATGAAAAAAAAAAATACTTGATGAAAAAGTGTGTCATAAATAAACTATAAAATGAAAAAAATAAATAGATTTTACGATCTACTACAAAAAAAAAATGACTCATGTATTTGTGGTTTTATTTCGATGAAAATCCACTTGTTCCTCAGCACAGTGCAACAGATACGACATACATACGAAACAGCTACCAATAAAGTATCAAAATAGTACAAAATACCAATGCAAAGAAACAAATATTTTTTTTTTCCTGAAAATTACAATTGAGACGCCGCCTCACTTGCCTCACCCTCAAAACTGCCACTGAGTTCCACAGGCTAATAACCATAGTAGTTGAAGCCTCAACCCCCAATAAAAAAAAAAAAAACATAATATTTAACAAAACGATGAATTGTTCAACAGGTATATAAAATTATAAAATATATTTCATTCAAAATATAAAGACTCTGTTGTAACCAAATCATATTATATACATTACCAACAATATATAGGGTATAATAATCAAGCCCGGATTAAGGATCAATTGTTGAATAATATACGACGTATTCGGTATTAAGCACGGAGCACGCTGAGAAATACACACACGACACACGACCAACGACTAATATTATGATTCAGATTATATTATATTATATCGTAAGGTGTCAATACAAAGGACGTGTCAGTTGTCACAAGTATATTTAATATATAAATCGGTCAGTTTTATCGCATGCGACAAGCTTACGAGTTGTCGATCATTATCGGATTTTCTAATCGTAGCCAAGAGCTCGCATTACTTTGTACCAGATGAAAAAAACAAAAATAACTGTATCGTCATAAAATTTGAAAAAATATTTCTACGTATTCAACTAAAATAAATTATTTAAACATTATTTAAAAATCGGCGTATACTATGCACCCCCTGAAAAAATTCATTCCTGCCGGCGACTATGATTACATATATTTTTAGATGTTTTGCGTTGCGCCGGAGTAGTCAGAAGAAAATATTCACTTTGCAAGAAATATACCTGTCAGGTTTATTGTTTTTGGTCGTTTGACGATCATTGCAGCCACAGTTACTATGCACAGTATATTGAAAATCAATACTAATTTTCTATTAATTGCTGAAAATGTATCAATAATTGTTTTTGTGTCAAGACTATTAGTTACAACTAACATCTCTTTCGATATTTAATTAATAAATTTGAAAATCATTCTTGTCTCATTGTTGTTCTCCGACAAGATTTTATCGCCGCATTGAATATAATGAACGTTTGCAGGTTGCGCAACTTACAGGTCCAAAGAAAGCTACTTATAACAATTTATATAAATTTGGGTACACATCATCAGTACCTAACTATACTTGTTTAATATAATCAATATCAACATTTTCTTTAAGTTTAAAGAAGATTTGACAGCAAGCTCTTTTTCTTATCGACTTGTCACCAAAAAGCATAATTTTTAACGAGTGGATGAATTTTTTTTTTAACATGGACTGACGGTTCTTTTTAATTTGAAAAAAATTTACTTATTTCTATAACGAACAAAAATTTAAAAAAAAACCTCAAATTCGTCTACAATACACTTATACACAAAAGCAAATTGATCGAGCTTTGACACATCCGTTGTCGAATTACAAAATAGTGTTACATAGTCTCATACTTTATATATCTGACTATATTTTCGTCATAAAGCTGTTTATAACTTAATACGTTGATTGTTAATGTATGTGATTGTATCTATTTGTTACTAATAATGAATTGGCCAAAAAATTAACCATTTTTATATTACCTATACCTATACAGCTATACCGGACACTGATTACCAAGACCAAGACCTACCTATTAAAATGACACCCACCACAAACTTTTTGGTGGTTCAGTGAACCACAAAATGCATGGTCAGGTCGCCTCTGCCTGTCACAGTCCCCATGTGTAAGAGTTCGATGCACACCACATAACTCGTGGGTGCCCACACAGGGTAACCGGGTTTGTGCTACACATATTTTTATATAAAATTCATTAAACATCGCCACGGCGATAGGTGACTTGCGACAGTCATAAATAAAAAATAACGGAAAGAGGAAATAAAAGGGCCCGCGTTTTACGACTCCTAACTTTTTAACTGGGAGGACGGGGAAGAGAAATAATAATGATACCAATTACAACTGCTGACGACGATATGTTGGTTTAGTGTTGCCGACGAAGTTGATGGGCTGGCCGAATTGGCCGCCAACCGGCACATGGTTAGCATGACCCATCAATACCTCCACTAGTGGATTTCCGTCGTTGAATGTTGTTGTAGGTGGATTACACGGGCACCGTTAAGCCCCATAGTGTCAGCTTAGCCCATCATCATGAATTGAAGAGGAAATGTTCAAAGGATAAAATGTCGGACGTATCTAGCTCGTTGACAGACACGAAGTTTTTTTGATCGCACGAGACTCGACGTAAAGGACGTTTCCCTTGGTAAGAACTCAGAAATCATGAGAAAAGTGAATTTGGTTCTCCGGCGAGCTTGTGCTCTGGCTTCCTGACGGTGAACTTGCTGTGGCGGGGGTCAGCAGTGCAGATAATTATAGGATTTTTGTACAATAATATGCTATATGGATTTGAGAAGTCCTGCCAATACGCGGCGGCGGCGGTTGCGATATAATTTTATTTCATGGTCACGCCGACGTGACAATAGGCAGCAGCTTCGGCGACAGGTCGCCGGACACTACGTAGGGCGGAGGTCAGGGGACAGAATCTGGACAACATCTGATGTTGTGTAATGTTGTAGTTTACTCTGTATTTTAGGGCCTGTTTTACAATCATAGTAGTTAAAACCTCGGTTCAGCCTAACCCACTGATTTTACCGGTCGAATTCGGTGGTTTAGCCTTAGTTTAACGATTGTTAAATAATAATATATATTAAATAATACGGGCACTTATAGAGGAAATTCTGTAGCGGAAAACGTTTTGCAAAACAAACGCCAACGTTTGATACGTTGAAAGGGTAGAAATTTGCAACGTTTGCCGCTACAGAATTTCCTCACAATACTCAAAATCAGAGGGGGGGTTGGGTGTTTAAACACCCCACCCCCATTGACATTTCTCCCTAATAAATAAATTTTTTATAGGGTTCGGGACTGCTTGCATGTTTTATTGTAGTGGTAGTAGGTTATTTTAGATAAGTTATAAATTTGTCTTATGAAATTTTTTTGTCTTATCAAACGATGTTTGAATTTGCATATTTTTGCATATTGTAAGAAAAGTGTACATTTGAGCGATTTTTCTAGGGATTTTTTTTTCATATTTTCTTATATAGTTGGATACATTTGGTCATTGACAATGTTTTCTAGCCAATGATGTCTTTTTCCCAATTAAAGAATTTGACTGTAATATATACAATAAGTTTAAGTTGATAAGCTATATACAATTAATTGTATAATAGCTTGTGGAAAAAGACATATTTTTACTTTTTATTTCACAGTTTTGAAGCATTTTCGACCAAATAAATATTATATCACATATAATTTGTTATATATACTAATATACATGTTTAAAAATTACAAATTTACTGTTGAGTGGTTAGACATAAGTTTTATTTTGTTTTATTCAATTTGGAATTGAATTATTAGGCTAAAATACCTTATCATAATATCGTACAAATAAATTTTAGTGTTAATATTTTTGTACCACCAAAAATATTATGTATTGAATAATTTTTATATTTATAAACTAAATATAATATGTTTAGCTGTTGGCTAAGAGAAGGAATTCATCAATCAGTAGCTCAAGAAATAGCTCATATTTTCCGAGGTAAAACTGCTGAGCAGTTAGACCAACTAAAAACTCAAATTAAAAAAAAAAATCAATAGTAAAGCTGAATAGGTTGATATTGGGTACTGGGAAACTTTACTGTCACAACTAAAGGGTATGCATGATTAATAATGATTACTATTGATAAAATTACATTTTTTTTTTATGAAAAGTTTGTACCTATTTAAACTAGCTTAGTATTTTATTAATATTCAAATATATAGCGCATGTTGCAAGAGCACAACTTAAAGATATGCACCAAGATAATTTAAAGAAAAAACTTGAAGTATTAAAAGTTCAACAAAAGAAGGACGTTTCTCAATTTGATGCAGAAGAAGGAAATAGTAGTCAGAAAATCTGTCCACAATTGGCTAAAGTTATTGAGCCATCAAGTCAAGATCAACCTTCAACCTTTACCAAAAAATCTCCCTCAAGAAAAGAAAATATAAAAAATTCTAAGGAAGATATAAGATGAATTTAATATTTAAATCTATTCTTATGTTTTAACCAACATTATAATTTATTTTAAATTAGTGATGCTGAACAAGAAGCAAGAAATATTATAGAAGAATGTGCTGCAGATTATGATGTTGGTGGGTATAGCCCTGTATATATTTCTCCCAATAGTGTAGAACTTGGCACTTTAATTGTACCAGAAATACATAGATGACGAAAAACAGCTGACGTTTGCTAGACTGCAAGTACAAGGCACGGGGACACGTATTGAAGTAAGCTTATCATACGTAATGAATAATTCAAAAGTGTCAATTTCATATGTTGTTTGTATGAACTATGATAATAATATAAATTCAAGACTTTGAAAAATTAGACAGTTATATGATTCTATGTTTATTGACAGCTACTAAAATGTGATGCCAATTGAATAGTAAAAAGGCTATTTGTTTAGATATTTATCAAAGATAAATAAAATAAGTAAAAAAGTTAATTTATATTCATAAATAGTTTATGGCAAAAGTCAATTCTTAGACACACAATAATATATATTAATAAATACAGTCAATAAATAATATGTGTTAAAATAATCTATCTTAAAAAACTTTTTGTCAATAATATTCATTCAAATTAATTAATTTATCCTTATGGATAACATATTTTTTTACAGAATGTAATGGCTGTTGAAGAAATGGCTTTACAAAAAGAAGCAAGAAAAGGTATGACCACTGAAGAGGCTGAATTTTCAGTCGAAACTAAATTGGATCACCAAGTATTCTTATGGTCGGATAAGTACCGACCACGAAAACCTAGATATGGTAATAGGTAAATAATAGAATAAATTGTATTTATTTTAAATGTTTAAATTATTATAAAATGTTGTATTAAAACTAACTTAATATTCATAGGGTACATACTGGATTTGAGTGGAATAAGTACAATCAAACTCATTATGACATGGATAATCCTCCACCAAAAATTGTTCAAGGATATAAGTTTAATATATTTTATCCAGATTTAATTAATAAAGGTTCAACTAAACAATATTTCTTGGTAAATTCAAAACAACAATTTAAAATGTATACGATATTATTTATTTTTAATATTAATACTTTTGTAGACTGCTTGCGGAAATAACCCAGAATTCGCAGTCTTGAGATTCCATGCTGGTCCCCCATATGAAGGTATTGCATTCAAGATTGTAAACAGAGAATGGGAATATTCCTATAAAAGCATTCCGTTGCCAGTTTCATAACAATATTTTTCAGCTATGGTTTCATTTCAAACGCTATCGATATAGAAGATAATTTCAATTATATCCCTTTTTTTTTATCATTATGTTTGTACATAAATTAATCAAACTACAACTACTCATTAATTTGTTTATTTATTAATCATTAATGAAAATAGACCATTTTAGTGGATATCATAAAATATATAAACGACTTTAACCTAAAATTACAAGGTAAAGATGTTCTTATCTGCGATGTTTACACATTAGTAAAAGCGTTTAAGCAAAACCTTATTTTATTTGAAAAGCAAATTTCAAAAAATTGTTTTATTCATTTTTCTACTTGTGATATAACAAAGAATCAAAAACACAATTTTCAGTCGACTTCGCTCAAAAAATAATTTCTGAACTTAAAATCCAATTTAAACAACGTTTTTCTGACCTTGACGTAAAATCTGAAGAAATAAATATTTTTAAAAATTCGTTTAGTTGTGATATTGAGAAGTTACCTCCTACCCGTCAAATGGAAATGATTGATTTACAAAGTAATGATGCACTGAAAGTGCAACTCAAGAGACTTAAGTTGATTTTTATAAATTTCTCCCAAATACACAGTATCCAAATTTTAAAAATTTGCAATTGAATATATATCTGTATTTGCTACGATTTATTTGTGCGAACAAACTTTTTCCAAAATAAAATATATCAAATAAAAATATAGATCGGCCATGACTGACAAACACTTGGAGTCAATTTTGAAAATTGGAACTAACAACATACAACCTCAATTCGATCGAATATTAGCAGAAAAACATCAATTTCATACTTCTCATTAAAAAAAAAAAATTATTAAGATTAAAATGTAGGTATATATTATTATTTAAATTTATACCAATTATATTTCAGTATATTGTAGACAATCTTATATAAAAATATTTAAAGTAAACTTATATTTGTATACCTATATTTTCATAAAATTAAAAATTATATGTGTTAATAAACTTTTGGCCCGATAAGAGCATTTGATATTTTTTGTGGCCCTTGAATAAAAAAGTTTGGAGACCCCTGGGCTATACTGTAAACAGAAAAGTTATAGGGGTAACCATGACAAATTAGATAGGTATCATCACAGTATTTTGATCAAGCATCCTCCGCTCTTTACTTCGCCTATATCGTAGTTCTCCGCACCTTATTGGCTGTCAATCATAGACATACATGTATGTATATACCATAGAACAAAATCAACCAATGAGAAGTGGAGAACTACGATATAGGCCGGAGGTGAAATCGACTATATTTTTTGATCGGTTCTAAAGATTTTTTCTGAACATTTTGACAGTCAAATGATCAATTTTGGTTCTCTAGGTTATTAACTATGGTCCTTTAAAGTATAGTATAATATGCATTAATACTTTTAACTGAAATGCCTAATTTACAAGAGCTAAATAATTTTTTCTTATAGTACTATATTTTTATATACTTAAATAGTTAAATCAATAATCAAAAAAAAAAAAAAAAACAAAATTGTAGCAAACATAGTTCATTATTTATAGTAATTTTTCGTGATATAAAATTGAGAACAATTTTATTTTATAATTATTAATAATAATTTACCTTCTTCTTTAAATAATTTTTTTTTTTTTAATTATTGGACGCGTTAAAAAAATATATTTTGGGGATAAAGATGGGCCCCCAAAATCAATGGGCTCCTGGACCGTGCCCCCTTGCACCCCCAGCCTTAATCCGGCTTGATAATAATATGTACCTAATATCATTGATTATACATAGTAGGTACTATACTATGTGTAATCACTGATCAGTGGTAATATATGTATGCATAATATAATCAAATTTACGCATGTAATATATATAATGTTTAATGTTTATCAACTCCTGTAAAATATATGTAGAGAAATGTATGGTTTCTACTTAAATGTTGATTGGGTTGAGTTATCGATTTGTCCATATAGAGGTACAAGAACATAATATTTTTATCCACACAAAATAACGAATAAACAGCGAATAATAAAAATGTTGAATTAAACTCTGCAAGGCTCACGAATGTGTGTGCTCAAAACGTATTTGAAATGTATTTACGTATTATATACGTATATAATAATGTTATATGTGCGACGGCTCGAAAGTTCTAATATATAAACGGAAATTACGTAATTTGTGAACTCACGTCATATATGCGAATTTACGATTATTTATATATATATAATTTATGATTTGTATCGGTAAAAATCATCATAAAACTCGTCGGTTTTCTTTTTTTTTCCACGTTCATTTTTCATTTGCGTGGAATCATTGCCGGGCATTTTATCACAACCGACCGTGAAGCAATTCCGTTTTTATTTCTTTTCGTGCTTATATAGGAAAAATATATCATTTTTATTGCCTTCCAGGCATCTAATATTCGCGCCATGGCGTAACATTTTAATGTACATTAAATTTGTCTTCCGCATAAACATATCTGTTGTATATATCATATCGCCAGCCGTCCGGGCAACAATATTCCGCCGCCGCGCTGGTTTACGACCGAATATCAGGTAGGTACATTTTTTTAGCGTGCAACATTGCTAAAGAATTATTTCTCACCGTAAATCGGTTATAATAGTTATATAACACACCACGATAATAACAGACACAAAATATATCCATTTATGTTTTTATCATCGTACCGATGATCCATACTATGTAACATTGGTCATTGAGCCACGGAAGTGTGTTGATGATCAACAAGTTCGGAGAAAAGTCTGTTTCAGTGTATACAGTGTACAGTATACAATATTACATTATCACGTGATGAGTCATTCAAGTTTTTATAACTTTATATGTTATGTGGGCTATAAGCTTTTGTAACTAACTGCTTAGGATAAGCCATATTGGTGGAGCCTTATACAGGGGGGGGGGGGGGTTCTGGTCTACTTGAAATTTGGTAATTATAAATTATAATTATGCTCGAGGGGGAGTGGAGAAACATTTGTCCAGAACCCCACAAGAATTTTTGGTTTTACACATAATTATAAAAAAACTTGCAAACTATATAAATTATAGTGCAAAAGCCAAAAATACACGCTAATTGCATAACATTTCATTATACTTTAAATACGGAGGGAGAAAGATCAGAGAAACGTACGTTAAAAAATAGCAAACCCACTATAGTTTATAGGTAGATTCAAGTGTAGACATGCAACGATGTGCCACGGGGCACAGGGTGAATCATTATAATATGTATAACTATAATAATAACTCCTCACTCGTCTTAACTCGTCTTTAACGCTGCAAAATAAAATATAAAATAGGTACACTTAAAAATAAAATATTGTTCGATATTCAGAAAAGTATTCTGCTCTGGACAGACAATAATTATATTATACTATACAATTATATATATTTTGTATGACATTATTATGTATTGATGTTTTTACATTTTAATATCAACGAAATCGTATGATAAAAAACCAACTTATTTAATCAAATGTACTATTCTGTTTTTTATTGGTCACACAATCGATGCGTTCTCATTATAGTACAAATGCGCACAATGCGGTACAACAATCGCAAAACGCGTTTCTCTCGCCCGGGCATAACACGATTTTTCTTTTTAAACGCTCGCCGTGTACGCATTATATATGTTTATTTATTGTATAATATACTTTGCACGGTCGACATTTGATAGGATTATCAGCGAAAACCTTAATACCAACGGCACAAACACACATGCAGCATTGTGGGGCGACGAGATGACTGCATTCTCCCTCGTCATAATAATATATAATATTATAATAGTGCGTATATATAGCCGCAGGAAACCAAAACGCACACACACCTGGAGATAATCGGGTCGCGTGTCGAATGGTCCGCTCAAAAGCCGAACGCTCGCGCGCGCGCGAGCCAGAGAGGCATTTGTTTGTAATCACAATATTTTCGCCAGACCTTTTATGTATATAATAATAATAATAATAATAATAATATAATGGCCGTCGCCACAGCGATTCCCACGAATTCAGGTTGTAAAAACGTTGATCCCTTTGCCGCCGCCGCGAGCAAAAGTCACATAATCAATCATCATTACGTCCCTGCCCCTGCCCTACCCCAGCCGCGGTCATCGTCGTCTACCGCACACCGCCCTCCTATAGTGACTCTTCTTTCCCGCAATGTCACACCACACACTAATAACCCGCCACAGTCGATCATCTATACCCTATCCTCTCTCTCTCAGTCACTCTCGTACGCGTGTCCAAAAGCCGTTTTACACCATTATAAAAATTGTACATCCAATGCTTGTATAATAATATCATGCGGAAAGTCCCGACTGAGGCTGCAGTCTACACTCTACACCTACGTGCAGTGTCTGTATCATGGACGTTATCATTGTAACGTAGTGTCTTATACCGATATCGATCTATTTGGCATTTACGGATCTATATCGACGATCGAACACTCGATACGATTGTACTCACAGACGCATAATATTATAAGTCACGTGGACATCTATATGGAGAAAAAACAACCCATCCTCCGCGTCGAGCTGTATAGCTTATACAATGAATGAGTACCTACATATTATTATATATCTTTGTAAACCGTTACACTTTTGACCCGTTTCCTTACACCGAACGAAGCGAAGAACGTATATTGTGTATGCGGTCGGTAGTGTTTTATATTATAATACTTTTTCCAATAGACATTTTGCACCAAATATATACGAATTTCGTTTCAAGTATCCTTCCGGATTCAAGTATACAAACCGCACGGTATACAAGTCCAAAAATTGTAGCACTTAGAGTGATACCTGAAATGTACGCGCGTACACGGTTTACGTCCAATTACAACTGTCCAACATAATATATTATTATTTACTATATGGTCGAACAGTGCACACCGCAAGTGTAATACATTATTACAGTTACTGCTCATTTGGTATACTTTTGTGCCGGTTTCATCGCTTTTCTAATTCGGTCCTTATTATATTGTAAAAGTTTGATGATCGGAGACCCGAGTTTCTCAGTCGGTAT